CAGCTGCATTAAGAAAACTTTCAGAAGGATACATGCAATTGCCTTTCGAAAAGAAACAAAGCCAATCCTTTGGTGGATCAGACAAAGATTGAGTGGGAACTCCTAAATTGTCATATTGATTCCTAAATCTGTGCGCCACATATCCAGCTATGTATATAAGGGCATTTTGTTCTATTACGTCTTGAGAAGTGACATGTTCAAATTCATCAAGTAAGTTAAGAAATTTTTTTTTTTTTTGGTAACCCGGGGGAATCCTCACGGACCGTCCCCCCGCCCCGCTGGGACGGGACGAGGGGGTGTGTGGGACTCATCCTCCCTGTACCTCGGGCAATTGACGACCCGAGGCCAGTGTGCAATGGAGGGTGCCTACCGCACTAAACCCACCGGGGGTGGTCTTCTCTGCGCCATGTTGAGCCGACCGGGGACTGCTGTCGCATGTACTGCCGGTCGGCTCGGCGCCACGCGCTGTTTACTCGCGCGCTCCTCTCTGTCCAAGACTCGGACCATGCCCTGGTTGGGCATTCTCCTACTTGCGCGTTTGGTTGCGCCGCGGCAGGGGTGCCACCGGGCCCCTGCCGCGCCCCCTTGTTATTGGTGGGGGCTGGTGGGCCGGGAGTCCTCAGCTCCCGACCCACCCCCTGGGATCCCTCAACTTTCCCAGAATCCTCCCCTTCTAGTCGCCTCTTACGACAGGCAGGGGATACCCCGGGCCTATTCGTCGGCGGGCCCCGGACGCCATGTGGAGGGATCACCCCTCTTGATCGACCTTGGAGGTCGATTGCCCCCCTTATGCTCAGGGAGCAACTCCTCGCCGTTTCGCAGTCCTGGAAGAGGGGGGAAGGAAGCAGGCGTACTGTCCCCGCCCTTACGGGCGGTGACAGCCGTCCCGCGAACCCCGCCCCCCTCATCCCGGACTACCATCTTCTAAGGTGGGCTGGCCTTCCTCTCCTTCTTCTTCCGCGTACGCCAGCCCCGCCCTGGTCATCCCGGGGGTTCATCTCCCCCCTCCGGATGCGCTCCGCTTCTTCCTTGCGGAGCAATACCCCCTCGCAATATGCGGAGAACGCGTTCCACGCTTCCTCGTTGTGGACTATTCTCCCCACAATCGCCTCCAGCGAGAGGTCGTCACCTACTACCCCTCTCAATGCGTTTCGCTGCTCAGCCCACGCCGGGCACGCCTCCAGCGTGTGCTGAGCGTCGTCGACCTCCTCCTCACAATGGTGACAGCATGCTGCCGCCTCTTTGCCTATGCGTCGCAGGTACCCACCGAAGCATCCATGCCCGGTGAGCACCTGCGACGTTCTATAAGACGCCCTCGCCCATGGTCTGCTCAACCATTCCTCCATCACAGGGAGGACTGCCCGTACTGTTCGCTGGCCCGGGCAGTTGGGGTCGGCCAATCTCCTCTTCCAGGCCTCGCGGGCCCTGTTTTTCGCCTCAGCGTGGATCGCCCTCTTGGCTCGCCCGGTGATCGGGACTCCCTGGGCCTTCAGGTCCGCAATCCTCTCGTAGGCCCGCTTGAAAGAGCCCGCC